GGGGGTCCGGACCCCTGTCATGCCTCACCACCAGCCTTTGTTAGGCTCCCTCCGTCAGCTGCTGCCCACGAACGTCATTCCCTTTCCTTTTTGAAAATTGTGGTAAAATACACACAAAATTTATCATCTTAACCTGTCAGGTACACAGTTCAGGGACATGAAGCACATTCCGTCTCCAGAACTTTCCGTCTTCCCAAACAGAAACTCTGTCCCTGTGAAACACGGACCCCCACCCGCCCCCCCCAGCCCCGGCGCCCATGCTCTGCTCTCTGTGATCCACCGCTATGTTTCAGCCTCCCCGAATTCTAGCTTAGACCCCAGGGTAAGCCCGGCGGCCACGCTCTTGGGTGTTGGGGCTCCGAGGGCTCCGGGAACGGCCCGTGCTTTCTGCACGAGTGTGGTCTGCGTGTATGATTCTGACCTTCACCGGAAGCATCCCAGGGTGGAAAGGTGCCTCGGGGTGGGCTGGAGAGACCTCGCCGTGGGTTCACAGCGCCTCCCGGGAGTCTGGGCACACCCCCGACTCAGCTCCCCGCCTGCGTCCTGCCCCCGCGCCCTGGAGTGCCCTCCCGCTGTCTTGGACGGCGGCCCTGGCAGGCCTCCCGCATTCTTCCGTGTTCCCAGGGCACCTGGCCGCCACAGGTACAGGGATGATGACCGATAAGATTCAGGACGTCCCTGGTGCTTGCGGTCCCGGCCCCTGGCCAGCGGCACAAGCAGGGCACTGTCCCTCAGGGCCGACGTGGCCTCGGGGGGCCGGCGCCTCTTCTGCACCCCGCCCTCCTCCCGCACCCTGACCCAGAAAACGGGTCAGATCCTTCTCTTCCTGGTCCTCGTGTCCCAGCTCTCGGGACGCATAGGCGGCGGACTGGGCCGGAGCCGTGGTCTCAGCCCCGTGGAGGCAGGAGGTCCTGAGCCCCCCCGAGGGCAGGGACCCCGCCTCAGCGTCTCTGGGGCCCGCAGGCCCACCCGGGACAGGACAGAGTAGACACGAAGCACACTGTGTGTGTCACGACACCTGACTGACCGTTTAGCCTTCAGGACGCAGCGGGGCTGGGGAAGCATGACACTTGGGGGGGCGTCCCCCGTCCCCCCGGCCTCGGTGGAGAACCCCCGGTGGCCGTCCCAGGAGGGGCTCCTCAGGCGGGCTCCCACCCCCCGGCCCAGTCTCCGCCGCAGCTCTGTCTGCACAGGGGCCTCGCCGTGACCTCTGCCCAGGAGCTCGGGGGTGAACCCCTCCTGACGTCCCCTCCTGGGGGCCGGCGGGGTCCGTGCGCAGATGGGACTTGGCCCCGGTCGTCCTTCCGTGCCCGTGGGCCTCCCATGGTGGACGCTTCACGTAAACGGAGTCACGCGACACGTGGTCTATAAGCGTGGCTTCTCGACGCCCATGTTTCGGGGTCTGTCCCGCTGTAGCGGGGGCCCGGGCCTCGTCCTTTACGGCCGGCTGACCGCGCCCCGCTCCATGCGCCTGGTCCCCGGCCGGTGGGCCTCGGGCTGGGTGGCACTTGGAGTTCTGAGACGGGGGGAGGGAAGGGGCGTGGCCCCACTGGGCGGGGGGTGGTGGGCAGCCCCTCCGGTCCCCGGGCCTGGGCTTGTGTCTGGGCGGGAGGGAGCGGGCGGGCTGGCCGCGGAGCTGACCGCCGTGTCTTCCCGCCCTGCAGCTTCCTCATCGTCCTGGTCTGCCTCATCTTCAGCGTGCTGTCCACCATCGAGCAGTACGTCGCCCTGGCCACAGGGACCCTCTTCTGGATGGTACGTAGCCACGCGAGGGGCTGGACCGCTGCCCCAGCCGCCGGGGCTCTGGTCTGCCAGGCGAGTGGGCCATGGCATGGAGTGAGCTGCTCTGGGCCTCTCCCGCCCGCACGGTGGCCCCGGACCGATGTCCTTCCCACCCTGCCGGCCAGCAGCCGGGGACCGGAGGCATAGAGACCCCCACACTTGCCGGGAAGACCGCCGTCAGGCTGGGACTGGTGGTCTGGGAGGGCTTCCTGGAGGAGGGGGCTCCGAGCTGCGCTGGAAAAGGAGGACAGGAGGACCTGTCCGCACGGCTCGCCAAGCCTGCCCGGTGGCCTGGGTGGGGGGGGGGGGGGGGGGGGGGTGACTCCTGACCTGGGTTGAGGCCGGTACGCCGACCCCATGGGGGTCTCGCCCCACCCCACGCCTCTGGCCGCCTGCTTGGCCCCGTCCACAGACCTGCGTCTTCCCGCCCTGCCTCGAGGTGCCGTTTTCATGGTAAACCAGAGCCCGGGGGCGCGTAGACCCTCGTGGAGGCTCTGCTGCTCCGTCCCCCTGGTCCGACTTCTCCCCCAGGGCCGCGCAGCTTCCGTGACTGTGTGCCGAGGTCTGTCCTATCTCACGACGTAGCGTCCGTGCGGCAGACCGTCCTCGCTCGTGTGGTCTTCCCAGCGACCTCTGCCGCCCAGCTGCCTAGCGTTCGGAGAAGTCTGGGGGCAGCTGGGGACGAGCGTGGGGAGACTGCCCTCGGTCTGGTCTGGTGAGGTCTCCCGTCCACGACCGTCGCGCACCCGTCTGCCAGGCGCACAGGTTCGCGATGGGGGCTTCCGACCGCGGCGGTGACGGCTGTCCCTGGTGACGGCGACAGTGGTCACTGTCGGCTACCGTCACAGATGGGTGCTCGGACCGCGCAGGCCACAGCTGCCGCCGCCTCCGTGTTTTCTGGAGGTCGTGCTCGCCCGCGGCCCCCTTGTACGTATGAAAGCCGTTGGTGGCTCTGTCTGGACGTGGGGTCGCGGCCGGCAGAGGCGTGTGTGGCTCGCGGGGCCCAGCGGGGGTCGGCGTGGTGGCCGTTGCGGCTGCCGGGCCCCCGGCCTTGCGGGCTGGGTGCGCTCCCGGGGCTTCTCGTGAGGAAGGGTGCCGGCCTCGGGCTGGCGGGCAGTGGGTCTTCTCTTGACCGGCGGCATTCTCCGAGTCTGACGTGAGGGTGTTGACTGCGGGCAGCTCTCTCCCGTGTCCGTAGAGATGGTCGCACTGTGGAACCGCTCGCTGGCCCAGCGTGTCGCTTTCATCGTCCTGATAGGCTACGCTTTCTCGTGTAAAAGCAGGGACGTGCTCACCGTCCAAAAGCAGGATGGTGACGCTGACAGCCTTTGGCTGACAGAACTCTCCCCCGGTCCTGGGCGCCCACGGGAGCAGCCGAAGGTGCCGGCCTGGCCCGTGCCGAGGCCCTGGGGGCTGCAGCCCGGAGAAGGTTCCTCCTGCACCCGGGCAGTGTGTCAGCCGCCACTGTCCTGGCGAGGAATGTCCCCGAAGCCCTGCGCCAGTGGCCCCGGTACAGGCCGGGGGAGGGGGTCCACCTCCTCTGCAGGTGAGACGTGGGTGATGCTTCTCACCTGCACCTGCTTCCCAGGGTGGGGACTGTCCTTCCCGCTGGGCGGCCTCAGGTCCCAGCGGCCAGCAGCTGGGGAAAAGTGGGGAGCGTGGGACATGTCTCTGTGTTTGAGGGTATCACATGATGAGTCCTGGGCCGCACGGAGCACGTCCGAGTGTCCTGGGGCGGCCGCAGCAAAGTCACCCAGACGTGTGGCTTAAACAGCATTTATCCCCCACGGCCCGGAGCCCGGAAGTCGGAGATCAGGGGCCGGGATGGTCCGTTCAGCGAGGACACCCTTCCCCCTTGCAAGCGTGCCCTCTCTGTGTCCTCACACGGGGGGTGGGGGCTCTCTGGCGTCTCTTCTTACAAGGACACTGACCTTACAGGACCAGGGCCTCATCCCAGTTACCTCAGTTTACCCAATTGTCTCCTTAACGAGCCCATCTCCAAATGTAGTCACATTCCAAGGTGCTTGGGGGCTGGGGCTCCCACATGTGAACTTGGGGGGCAAACGGTTCGGCCCATGAAGCCCCCCGAGTGGCTGGGGGTGGTCACTCTGGTACCGGGAGCTTGGCTCTTGGGTTTTGAGAGGCCCCGATGACATCTGGAGTCTGGGTGGGCGGAAGGCATGCCGGGTGTCCCTGCACACAGAGGGCTGTGTGAACTGGGGGCCCTGAGTTCAGGTGGTGACTTGCCCCGTCCTCGAGAGCTCAGGCAGGGCCTCCAGGCGCAGCTGGGGTGGGGGGGGCAGGGGGACAGGACGGAGGCTGCCGAAGCTGCCAGGCCCTGCCGACCGGGACCCCGGCAGTCATGGCCGGCACCCCGATGTGTCGCTGGGACCCCAGGCCCTGCGCTGTCTGTGGAAACCAGACCCACAGACGACGGCCCCAGGGTGGGGGCAGCCCCTGGCAGCCTCAGGACCTGTGTGGTCTGGCCTTCACTCTCCTCTTGCCCAGGAACACCTCCCTGCCAGACAAGGCTTGTCCCGTTCAGAGCACATAGTTCATTCCATGGCACGGGGCTGCCCTCTCGGCAGCCTCTCCAGAATCCCACCTGTCCCCCCAGCAGCCCCTCCAGAATCCCACCTGCCCCCCCA